ACCCCTCCCCAAAATTTTGTAAAACTCATTTTCAACATAGGTTCTTTTCCATCTCATTGTTACAATGGGTCAACCTGTATCCTTGTTTCAGCATTTTGTTATTTCCCTTCCCCTTCACAAATTAGAAAAATGTATATATACAAGATGCAGGGCACCAGCATCAAATACAGTGATAATAGGTGTTATGCTGTAGGGGGAAGAACATACAAAAGAAATGAAAAAATCATATAGTGCATTAAAAACAACAGCAACAAAGGAAAAAAACTCTCGTGTTCATAACTTGGGGTTCATTTCGCTCAGCATCATCTTAGAGGGTCATAGGTACATAGCTTTTGACCTTTTCTGATTTTCTGGTAAGATTATTTTTGAGTAATTTATTTTTTTACGATTGGACACTTCATACATCATACCCCTTATCATTTTTACCTGAAATACTCATCATCAATTCATGTTGTCAGTGACCAGTAATACATCTTAAAATACTGCTGTATGAATACCTTAAATTAGGGAATGGAATAACATTTTGCCTCATATACATAGGCTGTTACTGTTCACAGATTGTCTTCTCCAGTCTGTGGAAAGCTGAGTGCTAAAACCATTCCACATTATTTAAAATAACACTATTTCTGTCTTCCACAAAACAACACTTTTCTGAGAAGTAGGTTTTTATATTAAAAATAATATAAATATTCTAATAAATTTCTTTTCTTCAAAAACTCATGCTTGAGGGGCTGGGAAGGTGGCTCAGTGGTAGAGCGCTTGCCTTGCATGCTTGGAGGCCCTGGGTTCGATTCCTCAGCACCACATAAGCAAAAAGAAAAGAGCCGGAAGTGGCGCTGTGGCTCAAGTGGTAGAGTGCTAGCCTTGAGCTGAAGAGCTGAGGGACAGTGCCCAGGCCCAGAGTTCAAGCCCCACGACCGGACCAAAAAAAACTCATGCTTGGGCTTGTTTACACAGCTGCATACTTACATGAGATTGTTCTTTACTTTTCTATCTTAAGCCCAAGGATATTGTAAGTTTTCCTTATCCATTTGATAGTACTATCTCTCACCTATTCTGCATGATTATGTTCACAGTGGTATAGTTCTATAATCTTATAACTTAATATGTAGTCAGGAAATAAAATGTGAGACAGAGACTGTCAAATTACTCAGTAAAATTACAACAGATTTTCTGTTATTTGATAGACTTTATGTGGAATTATCTTATTTGTGGAGACCTAAGTGCTTCCTAAGGCATGAAGGGATCTCTATATTAAGTAAAATCTCAAGATATAGATCATATTGTGATAATTTTGATGAATCTTTATTGTTGTAACTTACATGTAGGGAAAAGCAACAAAACAAATAAAAACTAATATTCAGTTGTGTTCTTCAAGTGCTAAATTATTTTGATTTCCATCTTTCTAATTAATTTCAACATTCTAATACTCATGTATTTTCTGAACCCTGTGTTTACAGTGCACCCATGGTGGTAATTCATAATAACTTCTGTATGTTCCATTGATAGATTATCTTAATGTCATTCCATGAGCAATCTTGTGTAAGTTTTTATTAATATTCCTTTTATGGCTAAGGGTGTTTAACATTTGTTATTTTAAATATTAGCCATTTGTATTTGTTCTTCTGACTTCTCTCTGTCCTGTTTGCTTACCCAATTTAACATATGTAATCTTTATGAAATTCAGGTATGTTCTATCAAATCCTAGTTTCTTCAGTTTTCATTATGAAACAATGCTGAATTCTTTGAAAGGCTTTTCTGCATGGATTGAGATGAACATTTGCTTTTTTTGTTCTAAGTTCTATTTATGTGATCCTTTATATTTAATAATTTATGTACTTTGTTCATACATACTTATATCTGAGGGATAACATCAATTGAAAATTTTATACAACATTTTTATATTCTCTTAAGATTTATTCACAGATTTTAATTGAGAATATTTTTACTGAGAATATTTGTTTCAATGTTCACCAGTGAAACTGATCTACAGTTCTTTTCATTTTAATTTCTGCCTGTTTGGGGGTTTGGTGTAATATTTGTTTCATAGAATGAGTTCACTGATATTCCTTCTTTTACTATTTTATGAAAGCATTTGAAAAGTATTAGTATTAGTTCTTCTTTGAAGTGAGCACAACTAACCCTAAGCTTTTTTTTAAGAGAGAAACTTTACTAATTCTTTAATCTCCTTGCTTTTTACAACACTGTTGAAATTGTTAATATTGTCATAGTTCAATTTTGGCCACTCCTATGCATACAGAAATATATCTATTTCTTCTAGATTTTCCAGTTTATTTGAGTATATTTTAAAGGAATTACCTCATGATTTTTTGGAATCTATGCTATTTCCGGTATCATTTTCTTCTTCATCTCTTATTTTGTTGATTTGAATCTCTTCTATCCTTTTATATCTATGGAATTATCAGCCATATTTGTTTTTCAAAGAACCACCTTTTGTTTCAGTGATTACTTCATTGTTCTTTTACTCTCAATTTCATTCCTTTCTGCCCTAATTTTTAATATTTATCTCCATCTACTTGTTTTAGCTTTGGTTTAGCGTTATAAGGTTATTCATTTGATCACTGAATGTTACTTTGAGGGTGTCCTATGTTTTGCTGTTGTTTTTAATACAAGCCTTCCTAACAACGAACTTTTTTCTTAACTGTGATTTTGCTATATATGAATGAGGGTTTTATGGTAGGATTGGTGGGATGCCTTTTTATTTTCATTGGTTTCCAGGAACTTTGAAATGTCTCCTTTTTAAATGTCTCCCACCTGTCATTCAACAATGTGTTATCAACTTTCATGTTCTTTAAAATCATACTTTTATTATCTTTAAGCAGTTTCTTAAGAGGTACCATTAACATCACCCTTTATTATGTTCTCTTATCTTTCCCAAACTCTTCTCAATTTTCATATGATAAGCATTGAATATTTTGACTTCATTCATACCCCTTGTTTGCTTTATTCATTTTACTCCTTCTTGACCGCACTGCACACACACACACACACACACACACACACACACACACATTTCATGTGCAACTTTTCTGGTATTCATTTTGTTAGTCTGTGAGTTAGCTCTTCTAAGTCACTCATCATTTGATTCTCCCCTGCAAATACCATACTTTGATTAACACATACAGATACTTTTATACAACCCTATATTTACTTGTACATTTACAAGTTAGTTGTAGGTTTCATTTTTGATAGAAATCATACCTCCTTGTCTCTCTGGGCCTGACTTATGTTACTTAACACACTCTCCATGTTTTAAAAAATATTTTCTGCAGTCTTCTGCTGTTGTGTTCTAGTTTATTTCTCTATGAATATGAGTAAAAATACAGGATTTTTCATGTTTCTTTTATTGCTCATGCAGTTTATATTCTAGGGTATAATTTCTTCAGGAGATAGTTTCATGGGTTACTGGAAAGAATTTGTGCTCTTCAGATGCCAGGTAAATCTCTGTAGCTGTTCATTGGATCTATGAGGTCATTTCTGTTTGTGGATCATTTCCTTTTATTAATATGATTTAAATTCATTTATCTCTTGAAGTCAGTTTTATCTGATTTATCTTGAAGTCAGTTTTATCAGAGAGAAGTATAGCCACTCCTGACAACTTTCATGGTCATTTATTTGGAAGGTACTTTTCCATCCTTTCAGCCTTAGACTATGCTTGCTTTTGTTTCTAGTAAGGAACAAATGATTAGATCTTGTTTTGTGAGGCTGTTGTTGTGTGATGCAGGATGTTGTTTGGGACTTATGATTGGAGAGTTGGGTTCACTGGCAGTAATATTACTGAGAGCTTTTTTTATTATGATGTTGTTCAATTATTTTCCCTGCTTTATTTCCCATCTCTATTTTTAATTGTTTCCTTCTAATGTAAGTATTCTGCTCAATAATTTTTGCAGTGCTGGTTTAATGGTCATGGATTCCTTCTGTTTGTCACAAAAGGATTTAATGTCTAATCTTATGAACGATATAGATATATGAAGCAATTGTGATATCTTTGTTGTTCTTGTATTTTCTATATGTGTAATTATACATAAACTTCTATCCAGTTCTACTTTCTGTCCATAGGTTTAGTTGACAGAAATGACTAAGTGTGTCTGTTCCCTCTCAGAGGCTTTGCATCAAAGAAGGGCCACAAAGTTTAAGGTGCTGACTTCTGGACTAGTTGCTGGTATTTCTATTGTTTTGCTTAAGGTTGCTTAACTGTCAGGTGTGGCACAGCTGCATCTGTCTATTTGGAGACTCTGTTGGACTTTTTCCTTTTTCCTTTGAAATTATTGCTGTTGTTGTTTCTAAGCAGTTTAAAAAGGGATTATAATTGTATCAGTCAGATTATGAGTACAATGCTTCTTGGTTATTGACACTTGTCTTGGTCATTGTTGTTCACCCTTTCTCTTTCCAGTCCTAAAACTCCTTTATCTCCACTATTTAAGGTTACATAGCTTGGGAGTGTAATCACAATATGTTCTAGGTTTCTGGGGACCCCCATCATTTCCTACAGTAGGACCCATAGCTGCCACCCTGAGTATTTGAACAAACCCGGTGGCTGTTCATTTCCAGTGAATATTCACAAACTTGCCCTTACAGGCCATGCTTTGTTACTCTTATTTGTGGTTCTCCTTTCCTTGCAATTCCTCTGACGTCATTGTTTAAATTATCAATATTCCATATTCTGGCTGGCTTTTTTTTTCAGTTGTGGGCTTGAACTCTGGGCCTGGGCACTGTCCTCAGCTAGCACTCTGCCACTTGACCCACAATACCACTTCCATTTTTCTGAGTGGTTTATTGGAGATGAGAGTCTCACGGCCTTTCCTACCCTGTCTGTATTTGAACTATGATCCTCAGATCTCAGCCTGAGTGGCTAGGATTACAGGCGTGAGCCTAGAGTGCACAATCCAGCAATATTCCATGTTCTGTAACAAATTCTATTATAAATTGTCCTGCGTACTGCCAACCTCTCATTATATCTTCTCTCTTGTCTCCCAAGGATGCCTTTAACAATGCTAATTCCTTATCACTCCAGGGACACAGGAGACAATCCAGATACAGTCCCAGTGCCACTTCCTCAACGAAGTCGAGCCTTCTCTCCCTGGAGGGCACACCAACTCCACCTCCAAGGCCTTAGGGTTATGAAGATGAACACTGTTTCCATCCATGTTATCATTCAACAATTGTTTTTATTCCAAACCAGCATTGGGATCTCTGCCAACATCTTCCTTCTTTTCTTACATCTTTTCACATTTCTCCAAGATTTCAGAGTTAAACCCACTGACATAATCAGCTGTCATTTGGCCCTTGTCCATATGGTAACGCTTCTCATTGCACTGTGTCTTTCTTCTCCAGACATTTTTGAATCATTGAAATTGCAGAGTGACTTCAAATGCAAAGTGTTGATTTATATTCACAGAGTGACTAGGGCTATTTCCATCAGTACCACCTGCCTCCTGAGTGTGTTCCAGGCCATTACTATCAGCCCCAGAACCCCCTGGTTAGTGAGATTGAAACATAAATTTACAAACTATGTTATCTGCATAGTCACTTTTTTCTGGTCCTGTAATTTATCTTTTGGTAGTATCCTCATCTTCCATACTGCAGTATATTCTAACAAAAGCCAGAAGAATCTAATAAATATCAATGAACACTGTTCAATAGATCCTATCAACCCCATCATCATGGAAGTTATTTTCATTCTGACATTGTTCAGAGATGTCTTCCTGGTAGGACTTATGCTGCTGTCCAGTGCATACATGGTGATTCTGTTGTTCAGACATCAGAGGCAGTCACAGCACCTCCACAGCACCAGGCTGAACCCAAGAGTCTCCCCAGAACAAAGGGCCACAAAGACCATTCTGTTGATGGTGAGTTTCTTTGTGATCATATACTGGGCAGACATCATCATCACTATTATCTCCTTATTATGGAAACATGACAGAATTCTGTTTAGTGTCCAGAAACTTGTGCTCAATAACTATGCCACTGTTTGTCCTATAGTACAAACCACTTCCCATAAAATTATAAAATCTACTGTGTAAAATATAAAATGTATTTGTACTATCAAGTAAAAATATCATTTTAAAAGTAAGTAGGTTATCTGCTGCCAATTAAATTAATCAAAAAGTTAGACATGATTTTTTTCTTTGATTTAAAATAAAATGTGTGGGTGTAAATTAGGTTGTCAGGTTATCTATTTGGTTATTATTAGCTCTTTTGGTCCATCATGATTTGATTTCCTTAGATATTTTATCCTTTCACTTTCATTTATTTTAATACAGAAACATAATTTTTACTATATTGAAGAGCTCTTTTTAGAAATCACTACATATTTTAACTTACCCAAACCTTTGATATGCATTAGACAGAGGGTACTCCTTGGTGACCTTACTCCTCTGCCCTTCTATGTTCTAGAATTTATCTGGGGGATCTAGATTACAGGAATGCACATTTTCCTACATGTATGAAATTAGGGAGTCATTCTAACTGCTATTCATAAATTTACTTCTAGCATGTTGAAATTTCCTACAGATGTTCTTTTATAGAACACGGGAGAATGGGTCTTATTGAAATCTTAGAATATGTGCATACAGAAAAACAATTCCATCTTCTTGGCATTGTACCATAGGAAGTTACTAAATTCTCAGTGGAATTGAATTTTTCAAGCCATCAAGCTATCATGTATGAGTTAGACTTTTTTTCTCAAAACAACAAGCAAGCAAACAAACTAATGTCTGGTCTGCTATAAGCTGTCCACCAAACATTATGGGGATAGGAAGTAAACCATATTAGAATCCTATGATCCAAGTACTCAAAAACTTTTCTGATCTCAAAGTCTAGACACTGCGTTTTCTCAATGGATTTAGGAATCTCAAATCCACCTCAAGTGGCTTCATATAAATTGGTTTACTAAAAACAAGCAAAATGAATAAAGTAAACTAAATATGCAGAAACATGTTCAAAAAAGGGCAAGCAGACATGGCACACAAATGTAAGGAGCAAAGTTGACTACAGTAATTATATTCAATTATATTAATTGTGTACAAATTGAACTACATAACTGAGGGTGGGGATGGGAAGAGAAATGGGTAGAGAACAATAGAAGGGGTGATATGCATCAAGATTCATTGACTTATGGATTTGAAATCTCTTTTTAAAACTACTTAATTATAATAAATTACTAATGACTCCTACCTTCTCAATGTACTTGGTAGATGATTTGCCACTCCTGTCTTAGTTTTCTATTTACCTATGCTGTACTGTGCATTGTCTAAAAACTAAACCATTTGCTTTGAGAACATGAAAATAAATTGAATGACTAAGATTTTTTTTTCCTTTTTTTTGTCTTTTCGATCCTGACGGTTAGATTTTGCTATATTTTACTGGTAGATTCCTTCTCATGGAATAATGATCCATTTGATATGTCTGTCACTGATGGTTATTTCTGACATTTAATATAACTCTTAGTAAAATTTCTTTAAAAATTATCTGTTGAGCTAGAGGCATGGCTCATGTGGTAGAGCACTTGCCCATATATTGGAAGGCTTTGAGTTCAAACCCTAGTACCATAAAAGAATAAACATTATTTGTTGATCTTATCTAATTCTTTGTCTAAAAATAGTCCATGCTTTGTTCTTCTCCACATCACCTCTAGTCAAACTTGACATTGTATTCAGAGTCAAGACTCAAGGAAATTTCACAGAAAGAATTGCAAACAGATGATAAAGTTTTCTGTATGTAATGCTAACTTTTAATTACTAATTCAACAAAATATTTACCAATAGACAATTATAACACTTAAAAACAACCCAGTGTTCAAACCACTAACGTCATGAAAACAGAAAAACTGGGCTTTGATTAGACAGCTCTTGTTATATCTCTGTCCATCATCAAAATGAACATTAGTAGCTTATGGTCTATCTCAAGCACTTATCACACGGGTGTCTGGTTTCAAAACCTTACAAATTACTTACAGAAGCATCAGGACTTTAAAATTCAGCAAATAACTGGAAAAATATGTTGCCATCTGATACAAAATGATTGTTTATAAATACAAAAATTTCCCTCAGGCAAAATTGTATAAGCCTGGATTCAGGTAAAATAGGAAGCTGATATCTTTTAGGATACCTAACTATTCCATTTAGTGTCATCTAACTTATTGTCTAAGTTTCTATTTAATACCTCAGATTGAAAAACCAATGTCTTAAAGTTTGCCCTATGTTGAGTTTTGCTACATAATCCTAGTCAGATTGAGTTAGGTTTCTAAAACTTTTTATCATGGGGTTTGAACTGGGCCCTGACCCTGAGCTCTTTTACTCAAGGATAGCATTCTACAAATTTCAGGTACAGCTCCACTTTGGGTTTCCTGATCATTCACTGAATACAAAGTCTCAAGGACTTTCTTGTCTGGACTGGCTTTGAACCCAGATCCTCATATCTGAACTTCCTGAGGATTTCAAATATTCATATGCATGTTAGATGAGAGGAAATGCAAAGAATGCTATTTTAGCATAATATTTTGTGTAAATTTGTCTATTTATATATTTTAGAACCCTGTACAATTAGAATAAATACCATTTAAAATCAGTTTACTTCAGTTCTCGGTTCTGAATAAATAGGTTAATAAAAATACCAATATTATATATTCATGTTAAATAAATTTAAGAAGCTGATTCAATATATAAAACAAAAACTGGATTTAGTGCAAATTTCAGTGACATTTCACAATAAATTCAAAGAATAACATCGAAATTTTCCAGCAAAAATCTTCCTTAGTATCATTTGCTTAATATTACTTTCCTCATGGTATCTTTTCTCTATTTGATTTTGAAACTGTGGAAGATGAGATTCATAGATGGTGAAACAATGGTATAAAATTCAGAAAGGATGATGTCTTCAATCATTTCAGAGTCTAATCAGGGTCTCAGATACACAATAGCACCAGAAGTAAGAAACACAGGCACCACAACAATGTGAGGAACACAGGATGGAAAGGTGTTTCCTTATTCTTCTTTCACTGGGAATTTCAGCACAGTAAAAAAAAAAAATGAGACCATAGGGAAAGACAATGAACAATACTGTACTAATGCTATCAGCACAACTATGTTTATTGCAGCATTATTTACCATAGCTAAGATATGGAATCAACCCAGATGCCCCTCAGTAGATGAATGGATCAAGAACATTTGGTATAGATACACAATGGAATTGTATGCCTCTATCAGAATGAATGACATTCCCCCATTTGTTAGGAAATGGAAGGATTTGGAAAAATTATATTAAGTGAAGTAAGCCAGGCCCAAGGAAACATAGGTCCCATGATTTCCTTATTTGCAATAATTAGTATTTGTCTGACACAAGCAAAAAAGGTCAGATAAGTTGATGTTAGGTCTGACACAAGCAGAAAAGGTCAGATAAGTTGATGTTAGGTGAAATGAACCCCAAGTTAAGGATTCAAATATTCTTTTTTTCTTTCTTGTGATTGTTTCTAACATAATTACAAGATTATTTCTTTGTTGCTTTGTATGTCCTTCTCCCATGGTATAACCCCTGCTTTCACTGTATTTGATGTTGGTATAATTTGTGGAGGGGAAGGGAAAAAATTGTTTCAATAAGGATACAGGTTGACACATTGCAACAATGAGATGTACAAGAAGTTATATCAAAAAACGAACTTTACAACTTTGGCAGGGAGGGGGGTGATGGGGGGCAGGGAGGCTGGGGAGTTGATGGGAAGGGATGGTGGGAAGGGGAAACAAAGGAGGAGGCAACAATGCTTGATAAGAAATGTACTCATTACCTTGCCCATGTAATTGAAACCCCTCTATACGGAATTTTCACAATTAAAAAAAAAGCAGCCACCAACTATTCCAACTATAGGAACAATAACAAAATTTTCATTGCTTGAAGTGTCTGAGCAGGTCAGTTTAAGCAGAAGGGGTGTATCACAGAAGAACTGAGGGATTATGTTGAACTGACAGAAGTCAACCTGAATGTATTGCCAGTGTGCACAGCTATAAAGAGAAGATCACTAAGGAGGAAGCCAGTGTGGTCTGGACACAGAACCACACTGTTGGGTCATGATGACAGGGTAATAAAAGGGGCTGACAACTGGCCACAGAGTGGCCATAATGGTAAGTAAAAGAATTTCCACAAAAGCATTCATGAGTAACTATAATTACCAGTGTGAGCCACTGGTGCCTGGATAGCTCATGAATTTTGCAATGGTATGGTAATGAATATTACAATAATCAATGTATAAACATTCCCCTTACGGTTGTAAATATTGGCTCACTCAGCAATAGGCAGGAGGGTATGTAGCCAAATAAATGTAAATATATGTGTATGGGATTATCACTGCATCATTTATACATAATTATATCCATTATTATATTACACATATATTACATATGTTTATATGTACACACATATTTATATGTACACACATATATATATTTATGTGCACATATATAATTTATATAGTGTAATATATACAATATACACTATCTAATAGTATATAAAACATATACAAATCCATTATAGATATATATTTAAATATATGTATATATTTATATATTACATAACTTATAAAATTACATTAATGCTGCCTTTATACATGTATATAAAATATATCTGTGTTTATCATTCTGTCCATCTTACTTTTTGCCTTATATATTTATGAATCTCTCTGATACCCTTTCTCTTTATCAATTTGTATGTATATATAAATACATGCATGTGCAAATAGGCATATATACATACATATAGAAATCATATTTCTAAAAATTATTATAATCAAAATCCTTTAACACAACATTTAAATATTAAATTAACCAAAAATACTAAAAAATAAGCATTTTAAGGGCCCAGTAATATATTTCTCCTAAACAAAATAATGGACAATATGTTTAGAAAAACATGCTGCAGGATACCAATGATAAGTAAATTGAAATAAGAAACACGGGAAGTGTCAACTCCTACAAGTCAGAATGAACAGCTATAATTTGAATCAACTGAGATTTGGACAATGAGATTCCTTTAC